TTTCTCTTTCATTTGCCTCTGATTCATCTCCCATAAAATAGAATTGTTCAGATCTTCATTTTGGGGAAGAGGGGGGTCCATACCATGTTTTAATGCCCTGTGATTGTTTAATGACTGCAGGACACCCTAGCTGCAGGCTAGCCTATCCAGGGCCAGAAAAAAAACCGAATCCCTGGGACTGCATTCCAAGGCAGATGAAGACAGGCCCCTACAAGAAGGTGTTTGGTTAAGGAACTGAGGGATTTTGTCCGTTTGTAGGAATCCAAGGGACTTTGAGTCAATCCAATTTGAGTTTGACTTAAAGGATGGGTAGTTGCAGGCTTGTAGGTTCAGCAAAGTGCAAAAGTGTGAGATGTTCTGGGTTCAAAGTACATTCCACTATGGGTAAGGCACCAGGATTGTGCAGGGTTGGGGGTGGGGGGGACTGTGAGACCAGAAACAGAAGACGAGGCGCTGCTGTGGGGAAGGCTGAGATGAGTTGACTGGAGTGGTAGCTATGCAACCAGTAGAGGATAAATGTTGAAGGTTGGAGAGCAGTTGAGTGATGTGAGTGCACCCAGCTTCAGGACTGAGCGACGGCAGTGGGTGGGATGAAACGGGAACAGAGATCAGAAGGCTGGTCAAGGACTGTGGCCTTAGTCTTCATGAGTCCTAATTTAGCATCTCTTAGAGCTGGGATAGAACCAGAAGTGGAGGACTCATTGCAGAGGTAAAATCTTCAGGTTTCAGAAAATGATTGCCTGTGATGGGCAGTGGTAACATAAACTCTGAGATGACGTGGGGCTTCAGGGTCTCATGAACTAGAGTCGATAATCCCAAGGTGAGGCAAGGGGGGCCCTGTCAGGTTCCTACAAGCACAGGGACCATGCTGATGTGAGTGAGCACCTCCCTAAATTGTGAGCTGGTCCCTGGTTACCAGTGACAGGTGGACAGAGTCAGAAGGGGAACTGGTTGAGGATGAAAAGTGGTCTGAGTTTGGATAGGCCAAGTTGAAACGTCAGAGAGAGATGTTTAACAAGGCAATTGGAATGAATTGTTGTTTGTTTGGAAGTACAGGAGAATGGAGAGAGTGAGCAGAGAGGGGAAGAAGGGAGAAGGGAGAAAGAACACGAATGAGTATCTCATGAGGTTGCGGCTGAATCCTGGAAGTGGATTCCACTGCCCAGAGCCCGGCTCCTACCTTGCTGGCCTCCAGAGTGTTTTTGACAATCGCAGTGGTCACTTCTTTAGCACTTAGTCGGTACCTACGTAATGCTTAGCATGTACCAAATGGGACTTTCACACTTCAGTACATAAATTTATCCAGTCCTCACTATGCTCTAAGGTAGGTGCAGTCAGTGTCACACGTGAGGATCCTGAGCTACAGAAGAGGTGTCCTGCCTGAAGACTCCTGCGGCCAGTAGGTGGCAGCTGCTATGCTCCCCACCCTCAGGCTCTGCTGCCCACATTCCAGAGCCCTCCACATGAGTTTTCTATTGTATTAAATGGACAGCTTCACCTGTCTAGTTCCTGCCAGTCCTTGCAAGCGCTTGGGCCTGGCCTTAGAGGATGGTTTTGCTTGGGACCACCAGTGCAAGGCAGAAAGGTGCAGAATGTGGAGGGCTGGGGGCAGCACGAAAGAGGTGCCAGAGACCAGACGGCCCGAAGGCCAGAGGATAACTGGGTGATCTTGGCCACGGCAGCTGTGAGAGAGGAGTTAGGAGAGGGGTGCTTCCTGAGGTCAGACTTTGGAGATGTTTACGTCTGGATGAAGCATGGAGATTGCAGATCAGAGGGTTTTGGCAGTTTTGAAAGAGCAAGTGAACCAGTGATGGGAAGGAAATTCATTTTAGGGAGATTAAGAAAGGAGCGGATGATGAAATGCTAAAGCAGGGAGTGTGGAGGTCTTCATGTGTGCAGGCAGGGACTAAAAGAGCGACAGGAAGAAGTGGCCACTTAGAGAAAAAAAATTCCTGCGTGCTGCAGACTGACGATGGGCCCTGGGAGAGGCAACGGAGAGCCATGAAGAAAGAGACAGCAGTTTTGGATTCAAGCATTGGTCTTTCCTTTACTGTGTGAACTGGGAAAAATTATTTAATATCTCTGAGTCTTGCTCTCCACATCACTAAATGAAATTAATGTTATTTACGCTGTCCTGATAAAGGATAACACATACAACATGTTATCTGGCACAGAGCAGCTGTTCAGTGTGTGATCACTGCTATTAATATTTTAATGAGCTCATCTTTAGATATATCATTGAATTTTAGTGAATTATTTAATAATTGAATTTGTTAAATTGTTGAGGAAAGATGTATGAGAAGGAGTTTTTATTTCTTTCTAAAACCCCAGCAGAAAAAAGAAAAGAAATCACTAACATCGGCTGTACCAGTTGAATCCAAACCGGGTAAACCACCTGGAAAGGTATGAAGATAGGGCATTTCTACATGAGATAATTATTTATTCATAGTCTCTATATTCTTGATCTGATTTTTTTAAGGGCAAACCATATGAAGTAAGATTAAAGACCTTTTAAACGAATTATTGCTATAAGCTAAAAGCGTCATTTTTTTTTCCTGGGTATGTTTGGAACACTTTATATTCTAACCCTCCATTCCGAAAACTCTAGTTACATCCCATGGAGTTTACATTCCAGTTTCTCTCTTGTAAATGTAACTTCTTTAACCAGAGGTATCACTAAAGAATATAAGGCAAGTCTTTATTCGGAAATTTCCAAATGAATCAGTCTAAAGCTAACAGATCCCAAATTTGTATTACATGATCAGTTCCTAAAACTGTAGTGGGAATATGGTAGTTGAAGGGGAAAAATTAATCATTTTTAATCTGAGTTAAATAAAGTAAATAAAGGGTTTTTCCCAGAAGTCTTGTTTTAAATGCAACATATTATTCACAATGAATCATTTTTAACCTCAAAGATAGGATAGAGGCACTCTTTCATTCATTATACTGATTAAAACTCATATTGACAAAGTAAATTGTCACTTCTTATAACCTTAACATCCCGTTCAGGTAATTTGTTTTGTAAACATCTTCGGGTAAGCAAGTGAACAAAAAAACCCACAAATGAATGAAAGAATACAGGCAATCCATTTCTGAAATACTCTAATAGGAAGAGTGTTACCTAGAGGTTTTTTTGGAGTTCTTTGTAAATATGTAACTCTGGAAAACTGATATGCAGTAAATACTAGGCATTTCTCCTATTGCATACAATAACATTATTGCCTACAATATCATTATTCTTTGTGTTTTGTTCTTTTTCTTTTTTAACTGTCAGTACATTGGACTGGCAGCTTTAACAGACCCATTTGTTCATGTAGTTAATACCATTAGACTTACCGAAGTTGTAATTTTTAGGGGGTGAGAAGTAGGGAGAGAGGGAGAGAGACAATCTCAGGCAGGCTTCCTGCCCAAGGTGGAACATTACTTGGGGTTGATCCCATAACCCTGAGATCATGACCTGAACTGAAATCAAGAGAGCCACCCAACCACTTGAGCCACCCAGGCACCCCTAAAGTTGTGATTCTTACCTCAATGTGGCTTTCTGTCCTTTCAACATAGAATGTGTACTCTAGGACCTTATGTAATAAAGTCTATTAGAGACCAGATTTTTACAATTTTGATGTTTAAAGAACTTTTGATGTTTGGTGTTTTTCTGTACAGGAGGTTTTTGTTTGGAGCGCCTGGGTGGCTCAGTCAGTTAAACGTTTGCCTTTGACTCAGTTCATGATCTCAGAGTCCTAGGATAGAGTCCTACATCAGGCTCCCTGCTCAGCAGGGGGGTCTGCTGCTCCCTCTATGTCTGCCTGCCTCTCCCCCTGCTTGTGTGCATATGTGTGCTCTCTCTCTTAATTTTACTGAAATAAATAATTTTTAAAAAGAATTTTTTAATTAAAAATTTAGAAGTGAAATAAGTATTACTAATAGCATTTAAATACCCCTCTTTCTTTTCTAGTCAGACATGGATGCTGCTTTGGATGACTTAGTAGACACTCTAGGAAAACCTGAAGAAACTGAAGAAGATAATGTACCATATACTGGACCTGAAATTTCAGTATGTGCTTTTGATATCTGTAAAGATTCATACTTAATGGGTAGGAATGCAGATAAGGTCATGGTCATGAGGCACCAAAGAACACCTAATGCTCTGTCACTTGGAGTAAAGCAGATGGTGGCATTATTAATAATAGCAACTAAAAATTAGTGTTGGGAATGGAAATGGCTTGTCCTATGGTAGCTATCTATTACATTGACTCAGTGACCATTTATTTATCATTGTGTTATGACTGGTGCTGGGATAAACCTTATTGGGTTACAAAGATTTTTCTGTCCTTGAGATTTAAGTCCACTGGACTTGAACTTATTTTGACTTCTAGAAATTTTACCACCCTCAGTTCATCCCCCTCACCCCGCCTAATTCCTAAAAAAGCAAAAAAAAAAAAAATTACATGTTCCTTGATATTAAAAAGATTAAAAGGACATGCTGTAGATTGGAGGAAATACTTGCAACAGACATGACAAAGGATTTGTTTTTCTAGAATTTATGAAGAATTGTAAATAAAAAAGACAACCCAATAGAAAAATAGGAGAAAACTTGTTTGGCTCATAAATATGTAAAATTCTGTAGGAATTAGAGAAATGATACCAAACTATGAAGAGACCATTTCACACTCATCAGATTGGCAAAACTATAAATGTCTGACAGCTCATGTAGAGCTTGTGGATATTGAAGATGTGCTTACTCTTCAGGTAGCAGTTCCACTTTGAGAGAGATTCTCTGGGAGGGAGCCTTGCCCGTGTGTACCAGGAGTTATAAGAATAAAACATTTGGAAAGGATTTTGATCAACAGCAGACAAGATGATATAATGGAACACTTTACAGGGGTTAAAACAAATTATTCATGTATCAACATGGATACATTACAAAAGCATAGTTTTGAATAAAAATACAAAATGATATCTAAAATATGCCATTTCTATAACATTTGGAAGTATGCAAAATAGTGCTCAGTAGCAGTGCATATGCTAAAATTGGAATGATACAGAGAAGATTAGCTTGACCACTCTGTGCGGAGCACATGCAAATTTGTAAAGCATTCTATATTTTTTCAATTAAAAAATATGCAAAGTAATACTACGTATTGTTTGTGGGTACCTACATATGGAATAATTGTGTTAAAATGCACTCAGTTTTAAGTGGGTAGGTATAATAAAGTTCTGGATGATGACTGGCTAATAAGGAAGATGAATGAGATTATAGAGGTTAGTTAAACAGGATATATTATCAGAACTTTTTGTCTTAGAAATTACATCTCAAAGCCTTGGGTATTAGGTTATAGAGATGTTTATTATTAACTTTTTTGTATGTTTTGGAAATAGTTAATGAAAAACATTTTAAAGTAAAATGTACTTTGATATAAGACTTAAATTTAATATAGTGGTTTGAATGTTTTCTAGTTATTATATATGGGTTAGGCTAACTAAAGTGTTGTATAAACTTAATTTCAGTGTTGTGTAAAGCATTGGCTTTTTAATGGCTTACATTTCATTTCAGTAACTCCATAAATTACTAATGGGAATAGTAGTTTGGTTGCCAAATACACATATAACGTTCTCAGCTAATTAATTATATAATATCCCTGTGTGTGGTTTTTATTCCAGGATCCGATGACTTCCACCTACATAGAGGAATTAGGTAAAAGAGAAGTCACACTTCCTCCAAAGTACAGGGAACTTTTGGCAGTAAGTTAAATTATCGTTTACTTTTTTACTGTTTACTTTTTTAGAACGTGATCTTTATCCCTTCAGTATAGTCACGTTATTTAGATTTAGAAAATATGATGGGGCAGGTGAACTTGTTACAGTGACTCTCAGTGTATCCATTTGCTAGGGCTGACATAACTCAGTACCATAGACTGGGGTGGCTTGAACAACAGGAAGACATTGTCCTACAGTCTTGGAGGCTGGAAGACTGGAATGGGTGTGGGCAGCGTGGGTGTGAGGGAAGGATCTGAGGCCTCCCTCCTTGGTATGTACATGGCCATCCTCCCTCTTTGTGCATCTCTCAGTCCATGTTTCCCCACTTCTGTAAGAACAGGAGGCATATGGGACTACCGCCCATCCTAATGTCCTCATTTAACCTTAATTATCTCTTTAAAGGCCCATTGTCCAAATATAGTCACATGCTGGAGTACTAGGGGTATAGAAATTCAACAATATGACTTTTGGGAAAACACAATTCATAACACTCACTGAGCCTTACATTTTGCCTGTTGTAAAAATTACTTTTGGTCGCTCAACATGACCAAATTAATATTTGTTTCAGAAAAAAGAAGGTATCACAGTGCCTCCTCCAGACTCTTCGGTGAGTTTACATAAATGTCTTCTGAGATCCAGGTTAACCTGTTTTTAAATCTTTAGTTGTGGGAGGCACCTGAGTGGCTCAGTTCAGTGTCCAACCCTTGGTTTCGGCCCAAGTCATGTTCTCATGGGTCATGAGACTGAGCCCCAAGTCAGTCTCTGTGCTCAGCAGGGAGTCTGCTTGAGATTCTCTTTCTTTTTCCCTCTGCTTCTACCCCCCTCACACTCACTTCCCCTTGCTCTCTCTCTCAAATAAATAAGTCTTTAAAAAAAAAATCTTTAGTCGGGGGATATGTCATCAATTCTCTATATTATGTCTATGGCTAATCTCTAAATCAAATTAAGTTTCCATCTGTTCAGAGGCCGGGGATGACATGGGGGTTGTTTCAGTGCTCATGGATTCATATGTAGTTTTTTGTTTGTTTGTTTGTTTGTTTGTTTTTTAGAGGAAGAAGAATGGAGCCAAGAAAGTTTTGCAGTAAAATAAATGTTAATAGAATGAGAATATCCTAACACGTGATCCATTTAAAAGAGGGAAATAGGCAAATAAGATTAGTGAGCACCCATTCCCTTCCAAATGTAGGCTTTCATCTGAGTTAGTTGATAAGATGTTTTATTTGGTAGTAAAGGAATGTCAGATTATTCTTCCTTTGCTGAGTTTATATTGTGATCCTTAACTTGAATGACTCTCATATATGCCCCATCGTGTCCCTGTTTCTTTAGAAACCCATGGGGCCCAATGATGCCATAGATGCTTTGTCATCTGACTTCACCTGCAGTTCACCTACCGATGCTGGAAAGAAAACTAAGGAAGAGGTATTGTTTTAAACATAATTGCAGTGCTTGTTAGAAACCATATCAGACTTTAAAACAACAACTTCTTTTTAGTTCTGGTTATTGTAATTGCCCTTCTTTCATCTATAAGTCTGATCTTTTGTGTTTTGCCTTTCAGAAATCTACAGGAGAAGAGATTTTAAAAGCCCAGCCAGCCAGGGTAACCAAAAGTGCTGCTTCACCCCAAGAGAAAAAAAGAAAGGTGGAGGAGGTATAAATAATTACTTCTTTGAAAATAACCACGGTCCTTCTCCTAACAGCAGTTACTTTCCTGAGCCTGATCCAGCTGATTGAGGATAATCACAATAGAGCGTTATTCCTGATGTGGAGCATTTTTTTTCCCTCGGGTCTGTGTAGATTAGTGAATCCAATCAGGGTTCTATTGATTATATCCAGGCAAGCCTTCTGTGTTTCTATGAATGCTGTTCACGATTTGAGAACAGTTTTCTTCATTGTGAAACAAGAGTATTTCACCATTAAAATATACAGAAAGACAGACACCAAAAAAAAATGCACCTTTGGAACATACATCTTCACTGTGATTTTTTTTTAATGGAGTTTGACCTGTGAATAAATCACTAGTGGGATGTTGGCCTAGCTGTTTCAGGTCACTTCTCTTGACCACAGCCACGTAATTGTCACAAATCTTGAAAGGTGATCCAGCGGCTCAAGGCTGGATGAGAAAACGTGCTCCATCTGCAGACAGTCCAGATAGTGCAAGGAGCATGTCTGTTGGATCTGCTCTGCCTCTCCCTTCCTGGAGGGGACAGTTTATTTTTATCTGGCAGGCTGGGGGAGCGGTGAGAGCACCACACCCCAAGAGTGGGAGTTCCTACAGCCATTGGCCATTGTGCCTTCAGAAAAGAAGGCTGCAAGGGGCCACTCTGGGTTTCCTGGCTTCCTGGGCTTAGCTAGTTTGCTAAGGGACAGGGTTGTCAGAAATTATTTTTAGAGACACATTTAAAAAAAAAAAAGAACAGGAAAGTGAAAGTTTACTTCTTGCAGCTTTTATTTCTATGCAAGTATTTTATAATAATATCATAGCTTGATAAATAAGGGGTGAAGTGTGCCCCTGAGGGTAGAAACTGTGTAAGACACTGTGGAAGTATCTTAGCCCCAGTATTTTTTCACTGGTAAGTTCTTTTTCCTTTCTCTCTTTTGTTAGGTTTCAAGTAGCACTGCCTTCTCAAAGTCCTTCTCTAATCCACGACTCCTCTGACAAATTTGAAATTAGGATTTCACAGAGAAGTGGATGGATTGTGCAGGCTGAGGAGATGTTGTCTTTGTTAATGTACAGAGTTTTTCCTTTTTAGCAGGACGCAATGAGTGATCAAGCACTGGAGGCTCTTTCAGCTTCTTTGGGCAGCCGGAAGCCAGAACCCGAGCTGGACCTCAGTTCCATTAAGGAAGTCGACGAGGTACTGACCTTGGAGTTTATTGATAAAACGCGTCAGTCTGCAGGTTATGAAACTAACTGCCTTATGCATGTTTAGAATTCTCACACAACTTTGCTTTATTGGAGATTAAAAACAAATTGCTCTTCATTCTATCTTACTTTCAGAGTCCGGTTAACTTAGATCTTCAGTCCTGGGCAGTTAGAGTTTGCCTTATAAACCATCTAGAATTTTAATATTTAAAGTGAATGCTAATCTCTTTTGCCAATGCTTCAGTGACCTGACAAGACAAGATAACGTGGAAGCAGTGGCCTGGTGAGAAATAGGTTTATCTGCTCTTGTGGACATGGAAATGTGTATTTTCAGAAGGGTTCCAGGTGCCTGTCTTTATAAGGAAAGAGGGAGAATGCTGTCCATGGGATGGGAAGAGCCTTCTTTGTGGAACTATGGAGAAAAATGTTGAAAATCTTGTCCCAAATTAGAATAACATCAAGTAACAATTAACTCTATAAGTGGAGTTCCTGTGTGCTTAGAGTGTGATGATGGGGGGTATTTATCCCACCACACTCTGACATCTTAACAAGTCTTCTGAGCCAAAGCAAGTTTCTGTTTGGTGGAGAGGAGTTTTTTTTTCATGAGATTACAGTTTTTGAAGACTTTTCCAACTGAGTTATCTGGGATAAAAGAGGACAGAAAAAAGAGAATGGCCCCGCCAGCAAGGCAGCATAGTTGGGGAACATGGAAATCCAGCCTGGGGACCCTCAGGGGTGCCAGCCTATCAGCACAGGGAGAGGAGCTGGCAGGTGTTGCTGTCATAATGCTGCTGCTCCGCTGTCACTTCCTGTTCTGAATCACTGAGGAAGGTGAGTCTCAGTGAGACCCCAGCAACTCTCCCTGAGTCTGGGACCGCTCTGGTCCAAGATGGGCCAGTTTCTATCTTCGGCTTTCTTTGAGGGCTCACCGGGCACAGTGTGGCATGACAAGCTTTGTGGAGGCGAACACAAGGGAGCCGGGGAAGCAGTCCTTGTCCTCCAGGACCAAGTAATGTATTGAGAAGAAAAAAAGAAACTTGCATGAAGACACAGTGCAAGATGCACATGTGTTAGAGCAGCCACGTAGACAAGATGTCTCAGGGAGAGGGTGATCCTGGAGGAACCCTGCGGGGGGATCAGGCCAGGTTCAGTGGTGTCCCTCTACCACCAGAGAGCTACGGGGCAGTGAGCCAATGGCACTTACAGATACTTCATGTGATTTACTAAGACAATAATTTGGGGTGGAAAGGTATAAACAGCAATCCCAGGACAGCTTTTTAGTGATTAAAATCAGATAAGTAGAGAGGTGCCTGGGTGGCTCAGTGGGTGAGTTTCTCAGATCGTGATCCCAGGGTCCTGGAATTGAGACCCGCACTGGGATCCCTGCAGAGAACCTGCTTCTCCCTCTACCTATGTCTCTGCCTTTCTCTGTGTCTCTCATGAGTAAATAAATAAAATCTTTTAAAAAAATAGATAAATAGAAGTTAA